CCTGCGGACACACGCCACAGAGATGCATCGGACCTGAGAGAATTTACCCAGAGAAAGCTTTTGTGAATGCCCCAGCAATGGGAAAAGCTTTCACCCATACGCCCTGCTAACAGAGTAAGGTTCTCGCAACTCCACCCCACCTTTGGAACAAGATTTACAGGATAGGAGCAATTTATTTCTAGCCCTCTTGAGCCAGATGTGCAATAGGTGCACGCCAGCACCAGAGCAGAGTCTCATGCTGCACCCAGCACCCAGTTCTTCTGAAAAACCCACCCGTAACCTCTCACACTCAGCGTTCACCACATTCCCGCAGCCTGTGCTGATGCCACTGCAAAGGCTGGGACCCTCCAGCAGGAAAAGCATGTGAAAACGGCCACACGCGGACTCACCAGCCCCTACGATTTTGTCCACCACAGCAAACCCCACCGCCGCAAGCAAAGCTACCGATCACCCTGCGGTTACGGCAGATCTCATTAATGCAATTCACCCTCCTGAAGATCATAATTATATTTAAAAAAAAAAAAAAAAAAGAGAGAGAGAGAGAGAGAGACAGGTGGCACACCCTTAAATAGAGAGGTTTTCATAATGGTTAAACATTGGCCTGGAGCCAGACCGCAGCTCTGAAAGCTGAGGGGCAGGAGGAAGGGACTTGGGATCTGAACTCCCAGTTTCACAACTGGTCCCGTGCATGCACAGGGACTGGCCCAAACCCCCACATTCAGGAGGTTGAAGTCAGATCTCGATCTGAATTTGGTGGCTTGGGCCAGTTTCAAGAAACACAAATTACCTCTACTTATTATTATTAATAATAATAAAGTGTTATTTTATGCAGGAGCTTTGAGGTTCATTGTGATATGCAGACAAGCGGTTAGACCAGGGGCGAAACGCGCAGCTGGTGGGAGCAGGTGGGATTTCCATTGTCTCCAGCAGCTCCCAGCGCCGGGGCCGAACTCTGCCTGAACTCCGGGATGGGAACACGCCACATGCAGGTCTCGGCACCACCTCAGCTCCCCGCCAGCCCCCGGCCCAAGGCTGAAAGCATTCACCTCCAATCCCCCCTCCCGGCTGCAGCTCAGCCTCCCACACCTTCACCCTGAGCACCACCCGCTGGGCTTGTCTCCTGCCGTGGCCACAAGCCCAGGACTGGCTCTTGGTCTTCTGCCAGAGAAGACATTTCACCAGTCAGAAGCAGGGCAAGGTCAGACACCAAATCGGTTTGGTGCAACCCACACTGGCTTAAGTCTGCATACGGTAATCTGGCTGGGCTTTGGGGCAAGTCTTTGTGAATAAAATGGTTGTCCAGTTGTTCTTTTTGTACTGCCCTGTTTTGGGAGTTTGTTTAGTAAAAGAAGAACCAAAATTGCAAAATAAAGATGTTGCTTCAACCTGCAAAAGAAGGAGGGAGGGCTGGAGCCTGGAGAGGACCCACTGGAGCATCTTTCCAAACTGACCTCCAACAGATTTCCAAGAGCTGAGCAATGTCCAGATGATTAAAAGTTCATTAAATGTTTTATTTTCATGCTTTTTTCCTGAGCTGCCAGACATCTTCACACCGAACCAAACCGAGCCAGCAAACCCCTCTGTGCTCCCTAGAAAATCACCTGGATTAGCAGCATTTCTGCTGATGCCAACTGCTCCACGAGCTCCAACCAGCTCAGAACCTGGCCCCAACCCCTCAGGGAACAGGTTTGCTTCTCCTCTGTCTTTCCTTGCAACGCAGAGGATCTTTGCCATGCACAGCCAGGCCGGTGTCTCCACACTGGCTTCCTTCAGGCTAAAACCACGGGAAGAGCTGATTATGTTCCTCAGTCGTGTTTGCAAACAAGTGCTCATTTCCCTCTGCCCGGGCAATCGTGGGCATTTTGTCCCTTTAAATCCTTGAGTTTGGCCAATGATACCAAACACCGAGCAGCCCTCACTGCAGACGCTCAACATCATCAGATTCAAGGAGCGGGTAATTAATATTGAAAGGTGTGATTGCAGCCAAGCAGGCTGGCTAATCAGCTACTGATTGTGCTCTCATGTCCTACATCATTTAGAAACATAATCTGGAGGTGGTGGGAGGGACAGGGGAGCAGTAACTGGAATTTCTGTGGAAATGCAGTATCCCTTTCCACGTCTAAACACTCCACAGTTATGGCAGTGACTCGGTTACCTCCTTATTCATCAGGCCGAGTTCCCAAGCTAAGGAACACGTAGGTATTTTTTTTCCTCCAGAATTTTTCTGCGCCCAGTCAAATGCAGCTCTGCAATACTGCAGTCCTTCCCAGGGCACTGTATCAGCAGTTGGATCGGGGGGAAAAAAAAACAAACAAAAAACAAACAAAAAAAAACCTTCGGGGTCAGTTTGGTATCTCTGCCTCCCTTAAATCAGAAAACACAAATACCCGTTCCCTATTCCTGCCCTGCTGTAACGCAGCCCCATCCTACCCGCACAAACACAGCCAGGCCGAGGCTGTTCAGAGGAGGACACCCCCCATGGTTTGGAGAGTTCCGTATCACCGACTCTGTAGATCTTGTAAGGCCACTGAAGCGATGGATTTACTGTGACCACTTTACATCCAGAGATTCCACAACAAAACCAGTGCCTTTAAGAATTCTGTACATACCAAGCTCCGTGCTTCGTGTACAGGGTATTTCATAAGCACACTGCCCTGCAGATGGGCTGTATTAATAGTTGGGGTCCTGCTCTGATGAGCTGGAGACCACAAGGAAACCTCTGGTTGATTTGGCCTCAGGGAACTATCACTGGTTTATCACTCAGAGCCCCAAAGCGCCCACAGCTGGGACCTCAGCAGAGCGGGGCGCTCTCCAGAACAACTCCCTACACAGCAGAAACCTACCACCGCACCCCTCCATCACTCTGCTCTTCCTTATCCCTCACAACATCTTTCCACTGAACAAGCCACCCCGTGGCACAGCACGGCCATGTAGCAAAGCGTCGCAAACCTCCTTGGCCAAGCTCTTTGTCTGCATGCCAGAAAAACCCGGTGGAAAGCTGATACTGTGCTGAAAATGTCATCCTCTCTTTTCCGCAGACCTGTGAGCCCATCACCAGTCACGGTGTGCCAGGACAGAAAACACTCCCCAAGCCAGAGCCACAGGGTGTTGTCTCACCTTGTGCAAAGGAGATTAGAAACCAGGATCCTACGCTACAAACAACGACGCTTTCCTTCTCCTGGATTTCAGCAGATCATCGCTCTCCCTCCCCTTTTTAATTCATTGAAACAATCCCTCTGCAAAAACGTTTCTGGTTTTCCAACCCACGAGGGTTTCCACGCTCTCCCGCTGTCGGAGGGGAGGGCAGCCCTGGGATGTCAGCACACAGACCTGGGAATCATCTCCGTCCAGCCCGCGGCCCGCGCCACGGCTGTTTGCTTTGGATGCGAAGCCTGGTGCGTTGGGTTAGATGTTAGTCAAACTGACCTTTCCTGTTTTCTGAGTCAGCGGTCCTAGATCAGGCAAGTCAGGCACAAGATGTTGAAAATTAATCAGCATCTGGGGCTGACAGGGAACTGCTTGATTGGAGAATTGGCATGTGGTGGGAGCCAACGGCCACATTTTCTCAGCTGAAGAGAGGATCCCTAACGCTCTGCTAAAAAAAAAGCCTTCCTGGGGCCACCACGAGCCCCTGCAGAAGGAAGCTCCCATAAAACACCGAGCAATCACAACCTCACCATGGAGTCGTCTGAAAGCACTCAGCATCCTGCATGGTCAGACTCCACGTGCTGATTGCCCGGACTGAGCCTGCACAGGAGGGAACCACCGATGTCCCCGGGAGAGCAGCACCAGGCAGGGAGTTAACGGGGCACAGCACTGACTTCGTTAGCCCAATCCACCAAATTCCCCTAAATGAGCCCAGAACTTTCTGCTATTCACCTTAAGAGCCTTACCCAGGCAAGGAGGTCTCCTCTCACACATGCTCCACAGCCACCCGGTTGTACGTCTGGCTTTTTCTTTCGCTAATGCTGCCAGACCAGTAAGACTGGATTTGATTTTCTTTGGGGAATTTTTTTTTTCCCCTTATCCCAAAATACATCCCTGCTGCCCCAGTAACACAGAAAAAAAATGTGGGTGTTATCTGTGTAGTTTCAGGTAAGTTTAGAGACCTCAGTTGCCACCTTCTTGGAGACTGTTGTTCAGACTCTCTCAGAGAAACAGAATTCTTCGAAATTATTTGGTCTGGATACCAAACCTGCACCATTAGACCCCAAAAGATAAAGGACCTGATTCTAGACCTGAAGGTCGGTCCTTGAGTCAACTTAGGGCAAATGTTAAGGCGACAGACAAGCAAATAACTAAATAAAAAGCCCATGAGGAGTTGTATGGGAGCCTGACTTCCTGCAGAGAGCCCTCAGCATCTGCAGGTTCTCTGAGATCTCACGTTGCTGTTCTTTTTCTCAGCAGTTTTTCTCGATCTTCACAAATTACTAAAAAACCTGATCTCCTCTACATCCTCTTTGTGGAATTTGGCTGCAATCAGAGCAGGAGTTCGAAAGGGGGATGCAGGGCACTGATGAGGGAGGAGCAGACACGCATATGCACACTCATACTCTGGGGTTGAGTTCAGGCACACAGAAGGGATGCTAAGAAGCCTCACTAATAAGAGATTGGGGGCAGGGGTGGGGGGAAAAAAGTGAAACCAACTGTTTTATAAAGAGCAAACATTCCCCACTGCCAGGCCCTGGGGCTGGTGGTGTGAGGACGGTCCCATCCTGGGTAGAGATGATCCCAAATCCCCCTTTGTTTCTCAGCTTGGCTCTTCAAGTTTTCTTTGCTTTATTTTTTTTTTCTTTTCTTTTTTCCTTGGTGGTTTGGTTTGTTGGGTTTGTGGGTTGGTTTTTTTTTTTTTTTTGTAAGGTAACAATACCTCCTTTCAGGCACTGCCAAAGTCCTACTCAAGCCCACTCAGATAAGAGCTGGCAGGAAAGGTAACTGCCATCAATATTTTGGTGAATGTTAACTACCTGAGGACAGACTGGGTAGGGGATCACAACAGTCGGTTGCGAGCACCTGGGCTATGTTTAAAAACACCACATTAAAAGTCATCTCCCTCCCTGGATCCCCCCGAATTCCCAGTAAAGTCTCTCCAGCGTAAGTGGCTGTAAAAGACAGCGCTTAGCAAGTCGGGACTAAGTCGACAGTCGTGCTCCACACGAAGGTACGTTTTCATGATGCTTCTTTTGCGGCCGTTTCATTTACTCCACTAAAATATTATTCTTCAGCCAGAGTTTATTTTGGATAAGTGCGGCAAGTAGAATTTGTAGCCCTAAATTCTCAAGTGCAGGTTTCAGAATTAGATGTTTAAAAAAAAAAAAAAAAAAAGAATAAAAATAAAATTGGGGATGTCTTTTTTTTTTTTTTTTGCTGGGGTTTCCCAGAGAGTTGGAGGCTATCGCTCCCTCACCCAGGCTCTGGGAAAGCAGTGTTTTGTCTGTCTTTTCTGAAGGCAGCACCTGTTTTCATCCTTTTCTTCAAAGTCAAAAATCGTTTCGTGTGTTATGAGTAGGAACCCGGGATTACGATAAAGAGCGGCTTCAGACTGACAGCAAATTAAACTGCAAGCCAAGGTATATATACACCATTCGGAGACATATTTATAATAGGTTTTTTCCTAAAACCAGAAAATATAATGATATTCTGTCATGGAGTCTGAGACTTGCTGTGTTATTATTAAGACATAGCAAACATTTCTAGGTAAAAAAAAACGGGAGCTGGATGGTGTTATTCTCAGAATAAGCTTTTCCCACTTAGCAGCAGGATGACTTTTTTTCTCATGTTCGAGCAAAAAAAAAGTATGATTTTTTGCCAAGCTAAATGGCCAGTGCATATTTCTAATCTGTCACAGATAGGAGAGGCAGGTAGACAGGCAGACGCAGAAAAAAACCCAGTACTCCCTGCCCTCCTGACTTCTGTTTTTCTATCTGCTTTGCCATATTAATTTTAACGTGATGAGTGTTACACTATTTTTTTTCTTTTAACCATAAGCACGCTGTTTCTGCAACAGCTATTCCTTCTTTTATGGGGACATAAATAAAGCAAATGAAGACAGAAAGAAAACGGAATACGTGATACGCCCTTGCAAAGTTTCACTGTTAAATAAATAAATTTTTAAAAGGCAATTCTGTTTACGGAGTAAATAGGGATTTAGAAAGAAATTAAAAGAGCATCTCTGGCTCGGCTACCCAGCACCGGAGCGGTTGCTGGGCTGTCCTGCCCCTTGCTGCCTCCAGCTTGGGACTGGTCCCTACAGAGACCTGGACCTTGGTCCAGTCCCAGGGCAGGTATTTAAAAACACCCTTTAATTTCAGAGCCTTTGGAACAGGGCTCACAGTCCTTACCCGGCTCCTTTAGTCCCCCCACCCTGGGAAATTCTCCTTAATTATCAGCACAGGGAAAAAAAAAAAAAAGGAAGAAATGGGTGAAGCAACCACGAACGCCTCCGGGATGCTGCTCTGCGAGGAGCATCACGGCAGCCCCGAGTCCCTGGGCGCCCAGCAATGCCATCCAGCCACCACCACCAAAAACGGGCACCGTAAAAATCCCTCAAAATGCTTTTCCCATGGGAAAAGGAGCCTGGGAGCTGCTTGGTGCCACGTGCCTTGCTTCCTGGGACAGAGAACCCCCAGAACCCATGGGGAGCAAGGAAAACCACGTCCCACGCTCAGCAGCATCCTTGGGGTTAGGAAAATGCTGAGTGCTCGCTCCCGGTCACATCCTGCCTCGGATTGATGGAGAGACACGGCCACGTCCAACTGCAGAGAGACCAGGGCAAAAAAAGGGCCCAAATTTAATCAAGAGCAAACCCGGACCGTGGCAGTTTCAGCATCCCCGCAGTGGGTGCCCATCGGGGCGGGAGAAAGGGGATCACACAAAACCAGACCCTGAGAAGCGAGGGAACTGGGTGGCCCCGAGCACACACCCTTCGCTTTCCTCGCTCCCAGCAGCCCCGAGGAAGAAATACAACGCAAAACGCAAAAAAAAAAAAAAAAAAAGTTTTATGTAAATTCTTAGACGTGTCTTAAGATTTATGTTCTATGTAAAATAAAATATTTATACAGCACTCGGGCACATAGCTATGCGCTTGGCATAAAAGGGGAACAGCAAGACAGAGATATACATTTTTTCAGTATATGTGAGCGCATGCATACGTGAGTCTGTGTTTAGATATATATATATATAACTAAAACAAATCCCTGTTTATTACTCAGTAGAGAAAACTGCAGGTTTTTTTTACATAAATAATCCCAGTGTAAATAAACTCCCCACCCTGAGCAAACTAAATGTGATCCCATAGCAGATTTCTCTATTTTTCAAATAAATCATCGTTCCACCCGAACATGGACCTGGCAGATAGAATTTCCCAATCACTCAGGAGCAGCGGTGGGATAGGAGCTGGAAACAACCCAAACAAACAATTTTACAAGTTCCAGAAGTCGAACGCTCCCCCCTCACCCCCGTATCCACCATCCCCCTTTTTCTTTTTTTCTTTTTTTTTTTTTTTTTTTTTTTTTTTTT